TGCCACAAAGCACATGTGTTTGGTAATTTCATTGCACATTTAATTTCTTTCATTCCGGTTTTCACTGTCTGTGCCTTGCAGATTTGTTTTAATTTACAAATGTAGTACAAGTCAGGTACAATACACATTTTGCTACAATTCTGTTTATTTGTAAAGGATGTGCACAAAATCCCATTCTCTAAGAAAACAGTAGAAACAAAGAATAACATTTTTAACTTCCTTACAATATCTCATTTTCTTTCAGCACTCAGGTCAACATTTCATGTTTCTCCTGAAGTCTGCACTCTTGCAACTGTCTCCTCTAAGACTCTGTCTTATTTGTTTTGATGATCTTAAGTTCAACCCTGCATAAGAGTGAAGAAATTTAGATCCACTTGACTTTGACTACTGTTAGACCTTCCGATGCCCTTGGATATTGTTTCCTGCCATTTCTCTGCGTATTTTTTTTTGCATATCTTTCCCTTAACTTGCTGAATCGAGAAACATTACATAGATCTGTGATGGGCTATTGGTGACAGCCTTGAAAACCTCCCATCTTTTAAGATTTGCCCAGAAATGCAGAGTTTACTAAAAATAGAGATTACAGGAGAATCAAATGACTGCAGCTGAACAAAGACAAAGGACTGCCTAAGCAGTCCAGTAAGATATACAGACATCTTTTAGTACATGTTAGTTGCCAATGAAATATGAATCTACTTCAAGATTCACTTTTATTTTGTGGTTTAATTGTACCAGATTTAAGTTCTCTCATCAATTCTTCCTTTTCTGCTCATAGACTCCATGTAAGCAGCCATGTGGGTTGGAAGGAGCCTGCGGAGATTGTGTAGTTTAATCTCCTTCCAGGTAAGGCAGGCTATGCTGGACCTGGTGCAGTCACATTTGGTGCACTACCAAGGATGGACACTTTATGTGCTCTCTGGCCAACCACTCTAATGCTTGTGGGTTTTGTTTTTCCTATATCCAGTCACAATTTCCTTGTTCCAACTTGTGCTTATTCCTTCTTGTCCTCATGCTCTGCCCCTCTAAAAGCCAGAATGTCCTAGAGGAAGCAGAACAGGTTACCAGTCTGGGTACCTGGGATTTTTACAAGGTGATTGTTATTACTGTAGCCTTGAATGCAGATGCAGGCTTTGAATGATCTCCTGTGTAATTACAATTTCTACATCAAATTCTAGCATTATCCTTTAAAATTAAGCTTTTGAGAGATAATTACATCTTATATAAAAACTTGAACTTAAGAAATACAGGTTTCTTTGAATATTAATTAACTCTTGCTCCTTGGATTTATATTCTATGTTTGCTAACTTCTTTGGAAGTTTTTAAGGAGAACTGGTGAACAAGTTGATCATACAGATGGATAGGCAAGCAGCACTATTACAGATGTTTTAGTTTTGGAAAACCAAACTAAAATGCTAATTTTTCATTCAAAAATGCACATCTTTAAACCCACTTCCTAAAAAAAAGAAACTAATGAATTTACTTTAAAAAAAAGAATTCTTTTCAAAGTGCAAAATTGTTATTTGATTTTGCAGTTTTTAAGGACATATAATAGAAAATTAGACTGTTCCAGAGAAAATTATGAAAGCCTGAATGAGTTTTCTCTACTGCTGATCTGTTGCTAACCCTGCAAGGTTTTGTCGTGAGACAGTTACTGATCTCCCAAAGAGCAGTTGGACATCACATCACTTGGAAGCTACCAGATACCGTGGTTCATTCTCAGTAGGCAGTTTCGGAAAGTAAAGAGGGTTTGGATAGATATACACAGTCTATTCCATATTGTTAGCCTTAATGGAAAGAATGGTCATTTACCTGTTAAATTTTACTTGTACAGACTTTGACATCTTTTACCAGATTGAAGTAAAACAACTCAATTTAAGCAATTTATTATACATAATATTATATAATTTATTTCTGCTGGTTCTATTTTAGAGAGTGTCACAATTCCCAATGCAGGAGGAATGACTCAATTTCTGATCTTGACAGTTTATCTTTAATGCATGTTGACCGCAGGTCAGTCATGGCAGTGTTCAATTTACTCTTCTCACTCTGCCATAATTAAAAGTAGAATTTGTTTCTCAAAGGTCTTAAATCCTTCTTCTCAGCAGCTAGTAGTTGCTAATTCAGCATCTTTGCTAGAATAGGATTGTGATATAGAATTACATTCACAGAGAGTACTGAACAGGTTGAATCCAACACCAGGAACTAGCTTCCTAACTCTTATTCATTTGGCGTCACAACAAACTCTGCATTCATTTATTCATGCATTGAGCAGATGTGTTGTGCATCTGAATGTCTAGACCTTGGAGATTTAGAGACTTGGGTAACTGGGTACCATCTGTACCATTCAGGGCCATAGCTCTTCTTTTTGGATCTAACTTCCAGAAATTTCAGTAGGTTAAAATTATAATTACCTTTAAGTATTTTTCTTTTGATCTGTATGAGAATAACTGGCCCTCTAAGTTAGGTGTCTAGATTCTCAGAACACAGGTGTTTCGAACCATTATTTGAAATAGTTGACTAGCTCGAGACTACACCTTGAGTACTATGTCCAGTTCTGGGCCCCTCAGTTTAGGAAAGAATATTGAGGTGCTGGAGTGTGTCCAAAGAAGGGCAATGAGGCTGGTGAATGGGACTGAAGAACAAGTCCTGTGAGGAGCAGCTGAGGGAGCTGGGGTTGTTCAGCCTGGAGAGGAGAGAGGCTCAGAGGAGACCTCATCACTCTCTACAACTACCTGCAGTAGGACAAGACGGCACACTCTTAAGCTGTGCCAGGGGAGATTTAGGTTAGACATTAGGAAGAAATTCTTTACAGAGAGAGTGATCAGACATTGGAATGGTCTGCCCAGAGAGGTGGTGAAGTCACTGTCCCTGAAGATATTTAAAAAGAGACTGGATGTGGCACTTAGTGCCATGGTCTAGTAGGCAAGGTGTTGTTAGGTCAGAGGTTGGACTTGATGATCTCAGAGGTCTTTTCCAACCTAGCTGATTCTATGATTCCTTCCTTTTCTGTCCTATTACACTGTCTTTATTTCAAACCATGAATTTCATCTTTCTCCCAATTCTCTTCTCATCCTGCTGTGGAGGTGGGTGAGTGAGCTGCTGTGTGGTGTTTAGTTGCCTGCCTGGCATGACATGATGCTGGGGCTGGAGAAGATGGTGTCCTCAGCTGCAGGACGTGTGCAGTGACAGAGGATTTGTGTCATCAAGTAAAAGAGATGCAGGAGGTCTACAGACTGCATAGCATCAGAGACAAGGAAAGGAGTTTGCTGAGATCTTTTCTAAGACCTTGTAGCTGCAAGACCCTGAACTCAAACTGTATGGAGAGGGGGGCAGGCAGAGCCAGCGGTGTCAAAAATCCCCACGATGGTAAAGGCTGCAAGATTCTGACTTCTGGTATCAGGCAAACAGCTCCGGCACTGCCTGCAGTTCAGCAGCTACAGATCAAGGCCAGTGTTCTGGTTGCAGACAAGGGGCTGAGAGCCTGAAGCAGAGCCCGAGCTTGCTGAGCCTTCGCCCCAGCAGCACACCAGACAATCAGTACACTCAAACAGAAGAAACTGTATTGAAACGTAAGAAAAAACTCATGTGGTCAAGGTAGTCAAACACTGGAACAGTGTGCCCAGAAATTTTGTGAAATATCTATGCCTGGAGACATTTCAAACTCCAGCTGACCATGATCCTGAGCAACCTGCTCTAGTTGGCCTTGCTTTGAGCAGAGGTTCATAGTAGATGATCTTCTGAGGCCCCTTCCAACCTCAGGAATTCTGTTTCTCTTTACCGTAGTGGAAGGTTGTGAAGACATATCAAAAGAGGATAAATTAGTCAGTGAGGAGCAATAAATTATGAGCTTCTGTTACCCAGTCTAGTTCATTAAGAGGTACATATGACCTGTATATTGCTGTGCAGGCACATTCATATGTGGAAAACTTCTAGTTTTGGATCAAGATGGAGCATAAAGAAAGTCTAGTCAGGGCAGTTCTAGCCATAAGCAGACGTGTGATTCAAGAAACACATTTGAATATTGCAAAAGAGAGCACTTAGGGCATTTATTCACTACCTAAATTAGGTGTATATCAGTTTTTTGCATGATTTTAAAAAAATTTCGGTTCTTAAATTTTCTGCATATTTGTACTTTAATTGCCTAGGATGTTCACCAGTTTCTATCTTCAGGCTTAACCATGCACAACCAACAGAGAAGTGAAAAAGTTCACATCCACCTCCAAAAGAGATTTTTGACTGTCTTTCTGTACATTCCTTACTTTTGAGGCCCCATAATTGCTGTTGTTCTGTACCAGCAGCCTGGCATTCTTAATTTGAATATGTATGTAAAATGGATGACCCTCACCTTCCCACAGCTGTGCAACTATTATAGCTTCAAATAATGTTTTGCAGCTGGGGCACAGGGCTGAAATACTACATGTGGTTACTTCTTTATATGTGGAATTCTTCATATTACAGTATGTGTCTGCTGTTCCTCCGTAGGGCAAATATTGACATACAGTATTTTGCTCCCCTTTAGCTCTCACACTTCCCTTTTAACCAGATGTAACAAACTCTTTCCTAACCTATTCTGTCTCTACTGCTATGTATGTTGACACCAATGGACTCGTGAGTAAGTAGGCCTGTCAGCAGTGGATATTTTTCTCCTCCGTTGTCGTTGGAATAATGACATCTCTTGCTTTATATGGTTTTGTGTCCTACAACTCAATAATCCAATGCAGACCTCACTGTCTGTCTGCAAGACACTAGTCTGTAATTCACCTAATAAGCCTAAACAAAGGAAATCCCTTGACTTAAGGACAAGAATGTGTCCTGTGTTCTTAGTATTCTGGAGACTAGAGAGCAAAATTGCTCTCCTCTTTAAAGTCAGAATGATTACCCGTACCTGCATGGCTATATTCCTTTAAAATGTAGGAAACAACATTATACATAATTATTTTACAACAGCAAGATTTTATGTGCTATTTTAGATGTTTCCCTTGCTTTTCATTTTAAGAGAAGAAGAATATAAACTTTCTAGAACAAAACATGCTGAGGATGGCTTTCAGCTGCCACGTTTCTTAGCTTAAGCCAAGTGCCTTGGAAGTGCAGGTATGTTTACATCTGGGTTTTATTTCTAACCCACCTTTAATAAAGATGCAACAACGATACAGCAAAACACAACACAACATGATAATATATGGCACATCATAAAGAATGGCCATAAGTACACAGGGGGCTCAATTTTGCTTTCACTCTATCTCTGCAAAACTCCATTGTTCAACACTAAACCTTTACAATTGTCAGAGTTCCTTGTGGTTCAAAAAGAGACATTTTCCAGAATAATGAGGTCACTGGTTCCCGTTTGCCATTCTACAATATTCTGTTTATTCCTAGAATCCCTGTTCTTTCAGCAATAGCTGATGCTCTCTGTAGCTGTTACTCCTGGGGGAATTGAGACTTTAAACATTCATTAAAAAGTGAATTGCTCTTGTTGACAAAATACAGATGGCCAAGCATGAACTACTGACACCTATGAGAACACTTCCAGTGCAGTACATGGTGGTGTGGCCATGTGAGCACTCTGGTTGCTTTTACCAAACCAGTGTGTCCTTTATTAACAGGCTGGCCCTGCTGTGTGCTTATATTCTTTTACCAAAATATGGCACAATCTGCTAAAGTTATTTCTTTTAAAAACGAACTAAATTTATTTCTGCTTTTGAGAGTGAGAAAAGTTGTACGCTTACACAGCGAAACTATTAGTGAACAATATTCGTAAAAGGCTCAGCTCACAAAATAATTACCCAGCGTCAAAGCTCTGCTTCAGGCTGCTGCAAACAGAACAGTCGATGACTCCCAGAGGCTCTGTCTAAACGGTGGGGTGTGTGTTCCATAACCATGTTCCCGATCTTCCGGAGGGGACCTGGCTGGGCCGGAAACTGGGATGCAGGGGCAGAGGGTGGACGGGAGTTGAGGTGAAACCAGGGTGCAGCTGGGGCGCACACACACACACACACACGGCTGTAGGAGCTGGGAAGCACGCAGGTTAGACACAGCCATAGCTTTAAATCAGCCATGTATTTAAATAGTTTCCTAAGCTGCAGACATAGTCTCTGAAGACTACAGTTAAATGCTACACCAGGGTGTAGCACGCAGCATTACGCTTGCATAATTATATGTACTACACTCCAGGTTAACATGTGGAAAAAGCTGAAGGAAGGCTCTAGCATTTAACATTTTCAACTTCGGGAATAATATGTGATAAGCTAAAACTGAGACAGTAAGATAAGACTGGTTGAAGTTTTTTTCACCTTTTTCAACACTTCTAAAGATAGGTATTTTAGACAGATAGGTAGAAACTGCATTAGTTATATTAAGCTTTTGGTTATTTGGCGATTAAGGTGTTTTGTAATTTTGCTTCTTCTCCTCATCATCAATTGAGCTTCCTTTATTTTTTTCCTCATTTTTTTATGTATATGAGCAACATTTCCCTACCCCACTCCCCCCCTATTTTGCTACTGGTATATTTAAACTCTTCTTTTTTTGCTCCCATTTTCTTTCTTTAGAGTTTTGTGGTCCTCTTTTTTGTTCATACTTTTTTTTTTTGTTATTATTTTTAGTGTTTTTGTTCCTTTCTAGGTGCAGAAAATTGCAACTTGCCATTTTTTGGCTCCAAACAGTATATCCTACCTATTTTGTTTGCATGCATGTGTGTTTTTGTGTGTGCATAAGAGAGAGGAGAGGAGATACTGTGAGGCTGCCAGCAAAAATCAAAATTGGAGGAGACAGGAGAGCAGAGGGAGTAAGAGACTGTCTTATTGAACTTGGAGAGGAATGAGGCCCACCTGGGGCCGAACCAGCTATTGGGAAGATTAAGGAAATAAAATAATTATGGAAAGTTAGTGCTGGAATTGTGAATGGGCCTAAGAGACCTGGCTGAGGCTCAGGAACTGGGAGTGGTGGCTGCTTGAGCTGAATCAAATGCTCAAAAATGGAACAAATAAGGATAGAGTAGACATGCTGAGAAATTGTACTTTTGTACTTCGACTTGACTTTTTTAGCCTTATGAACTGAAAGACAATAACTCTTTTCTAAAGAATGGAATCTGAAAAATGTAAACCCAGGTCTATTTGGTGAACATTTAAAGAGTACTATGACCAAATAACCAGAAACAAGAATACAGCCCATAAGGAATAGCTCCTTCAAGCTCTGACCTTTCAAATTGGAGCAAGGCTCTCGGCACAAATGCAGTGAAACACAAATGGGGTCAGCACAGTTAAAACAGACATAGCTATGAGCTTAAGATTCCTGCTTCTTCCAGGTTTTTAATAAAGAAGACTTAAGGTAATCTCTTTCTAACTGACTTGGTATTGTCTGCTTCTGAAATTCATTATCCCAAAGCTAATGTTAAAATTTAAAGAGCAGGACAGTAGCTTGAAAATTCATTTTTCACATAATCATCCAAATGACTCTAGTGTATACTACAATGAGAATTTAATGCTCTATCTTATACTCTGTGGTTTTTATGTTGGTATCTCTTTGAACTTTTAAAAGTTCATAGTAAAAAAACAGATTTAAAGAAATAAAAGTATCTTTCAGCATGTACCCTTCTTTAAAAAATAAGCCTAAATACTTCAGAAATTGTCTAATTTGGCTTCCTAATACACGTTTCATAACATCAAATAGATTTATTTGGTAGGATGTGTTGTTTTTAACCTTAAATGAGGTATGGCTAAAAGTTTAGAATGATTTCCTCAGCTAGCATACATTGTCACTGCCATTCACTTCAACACTATAAGTTCTACTTATATAAGCAATACAAATACACCAGCTTAAAAGGTGTTAAAAGTTGGAGGACAAGACAAAAATGAGATGATCAGTGTAGTTTTCATTATCATCTGTCTGGATTGATATATCAATCTGAATATATAAACATGCTACTTATGCCTTTTTTTCCACATTTCTTTGTAAATCATTTAGGGCTATTTTTAACAGAATTAGTGGACTCATGGTCTGATGTTGTCTATACAACTCTTTTAGTCTTATGGCATATCAAAAGTTTCTAAATACAGGGATATTTTATGGCTGGTTTTGTATAAGAAACAGTATGATAAATACGCACAATGGAACTTTCCTATGAAAGAGAAGAAAAATTTAATGCAGTGCTAAGTGCAATGGAAAATTCTTGTATTCTAATTCTCAGTGAATAACATCAACACTTTATGACTGAGGGATCTGAGGAAGGATGGAGTAGGAATAGGATAATAGTGATCAGATTAGGATTTTTTTCTTTTGCAAAGAAAGAGGAAAACAAGCATAAAAAGAAAAGCATCTCCTTTAATCACTGTATGCTGCTTTTTTTCTAATCACAACTGTCACCATTGACAGAGTATGAGAACAGGTTATGAGATGGCACAACTCATGCTACCAATTTTTGTAGGTCATACAGTCCTTACCAAATGACTGTAGAAAGCATAGGATTTTTAAATGCTTGGAGGGGCCCACCAGATATTAACTTAAGAATTATTGGTTGTGTGTAGAAGTAGGCTGAAGGCATTTCCTGCTGTGAATGACACTTGGAAGTTCTCCTTTTGCGGTACTGCAGAAAACAATGGCAGAATTTATGAAGCATTCATAGACAGCAGATTTCCCTAGACACTTCAGAAATGCTATCAAATTAAAACTACTCTTCAGTAGGGCTTCATATTTTGTTTTTATTGGCTGTATAACAATAACTAAAGTGTGAATGTAAAATGAATCCTATTTACTTGATCGCTGAAGTGTGGATATTGTGAGATACTGAAGTGAATTTTTTTAATAATTATTTTCTGTTCTGGTGGAGGTGATATAAACTTTCTAAATTATAGCTGATGGAAACACAATCAGGAACTATGAAGACTGCCTACTCAGAGATCCCAGGTAAGTCTCCATGTTTCTCTGGTCTGCCTCATGACTGCTTGCTACTAAACCTATGTGTTCACTTTCTTGATGGATTTAGTTCTATAAATCCTGTCAAATGCTATGATACCCAGGAGGTACAATATAAAAATCCCAGATTATATATTTGGGAAGAGTTATCTCTCTAGCCCTGGATGTTTGTTGATGACTCCATACCACTCGAGTCCAGATCATATCTTTACTTACTGCAGTATCTTTGATTTTGATGTATATTGGCCCATTTCCTCTGAAAGGAGTTTGATACTAGGCTGTCCTAATTCCCTTTATACTGGGATAGGCCTAGACATGGGCAAATACTGATTTTTTTTCCCCAACTCCATGCAAACCTGGGCAATAGCAGGTAAGCATCACCTGGGTGCTTCCTTCTCTCTGTCAGTGGAGGCAGGATTTGGCTTATAGCAGTAAAAGGTGAGCAAAGGTTTTAGGGGAGAACCATAGCAACCAGCTGCTATAGATGAGGTGGCATCAAGGTTAGTGTGCTGACTGTTCAAGGGGGAGCAGACTAATTGCTTATTGAAAGAGGCAGGAATATGTTTGGATTCCTGCTCCCTTTTCTTGTTTGCCCTAGGGAAAAGGCTGCCTTGAGGTGCCCTTCACTTAAGGCCTTGCTAGTCGGATGGGCTCAGCACTCTGAATTATTATTCACATTTTCCTTTAAGACCACAGAAATGGTTGCTTGAAAGCATTTGAATGTTTGGATCTGAATGTATTTAAGACCAAAATTGTGCTCCATTCTTCTGAAAGAGTGCTGAGAAGTGCTGTTATATGTTTGATTAATTATGCTATCCCTGAATTTAAAACAAGGGGTGAAGGCTTCTAAATTATTTCCATTATCAGCATAAGCCGTGGGATGGACTAAGCTCATGTGCAAATGGATACTGCATGGTTGTCTGTCTGCAGAAAAAAGGGGTTGGAAAAAATCACAAAGATTGGTTTAATGATGTAACAATTGTTTGAAGAACCAGCAATAAGTCAGTCCTCTTTTTCCTTCTGTTTGAAGACTTACGAAAGGAGGGATTGTCCTCCTTTTGTGTGTCCAAACATATTCATGTATATGAGATAAGAAATTTTACCTCTTAACTTTTACTTAAGTATAGCTAAGAGTGAAGCTTTACCTGGCTTATGTTAATGAGAATTGTGTACTGGATTTGGCAGAATCCCCATCTATCCCCATGAGAGTATAAAGTTCCACTAAAGATAGACTCATTTTTTCACTAAGCAGAAGAAAAATATGAACACATTCTTAATCTTGAAATATTCTGTATGTACAAGGAATAAAATGCTTAGCACTAAAATGCTTAGCACTTAATTCAGTTTGGGTATACTACTAATTTTTGGTACCATCTAATTAATTTACAGAGGGAAATCAAACCTGCTTTGATTGGTTTGTATCAATTTGCATCACACTAAGCAGAGGAAGAAAGTAACTGGTAATGTTAGTGCTACCTAAGGAGTTTTTAGAATTTACTTGACTTTAGGGGTTAGCATGGGTTTAGATCTGGTTACTCCTAAAGTTGGAAATAAAGGAATATTTTTCTTTCAAAGTACAGGGAGTAAAAATACTTCCTAAATTCTATCATAACCCTGGGGAAAAAAAACAACTTGTGATTAAGAGATGCAAATTGACACCTTGTGAAGAAGCTGTATTTATTTTGACCAAAAGGGAAAAAGTTTATTTTATTAGATTGGTAAAAATGCTGTGTTACATTTACAGGAGAGAAGAGGAAGAGGGAATGATTGACTGATAATAGGCAAATTTACCTTCTGTCTCTGGTTGTAAGCAGGATGTAATAACTCTTCAAGTTATGGAGCAGCTAGAGAATATTTCATTGGAAGCCACTCTAACCAGGGGCTGGAATAGGCTGCACGGGATCTTTATCTGTCATGAATCTCAAAATATGATCAAGCCCACTCAGTAAAATATTCAGATATACTGGAGTATGCCCAAGTACAAACCCCACTAGCAAATTCAATGATTTCCACTGGTTTCAGGAGTTTTCGTATCAGGACCTTACCGAGCCTCAAATAAGACCTACTGCACTATTTGAAAGTGTAGGAGGGAATGAAGTCTGATGTACTGGATATTTTATTTAAAGAGTTAACGAACTGACATATGTTTATACTTACTACTGATAATATTTCTTTGGAAAACCCATCTAACTTCTTAACTGTACAAAATTGGCATCCTATGTGACCTAAATTGGATTTGAAAATGGCATTTGGATAAAAATCAAAAAATACATCCTACTGGTTATATATGATTGCTTTATTATGTTTGATAAGAATGAAAAGCCAAAGGATTTGACTGTCCCAGAGCCTGGCATGTAAAATGAAATTCCTGAATGTAAATTAGACAGATTAAACTATCCTTTAAAAGACCCTTGATGGAGAAAAGGATGTATTTAAAATCCAATAAACTTCAGACCTCCTTCAAATGGCTTAAAATGAGGTCCAGAATGCTTGCTAAATAGGAACTCCACTGGTTTTGATTTAGTATAAAATTGTGGAGTCTAATTTGAAAAAATCCTGTCACTGTATTCACCTTGCAGAAATAAATATGAAACCATATGGAGAAGCACATTTCCACAAATGTATTCCAATTCAAGATGAACTAACTGTATGCTTCACTTCACAATCAAACAACAACAAATTTCTTGTATTTCTCTACAATTACTAAAGAAAATAATTTTAGCTTCTGTTTGACTTCTCATAAGCAATGCACAGAAAAAAAAATGTGCTTCTGATAGAAGTTCTAAATGGATGTCTTAGTAATTTTTTTGTAAGGTAAAGGTGTCATAAGTAGGAATGAAGTATTTTTATGTTACTAAGTTGCATATATGATTGGCTGTGCTGGCAAAAGAGCACAAAAGAGCCTTTGTTATACTCTCAGTAGAGCTATTTATACGTTGTGACTTACTGTGTCCAAGGACTGCTTCCTGCTTCCGTTAAAAAGTAGTCCCTCCAAATAAAATAAAAGCCATAAACCCTGACATTACTCAAGTCCTGTCTATTGAAACAACAACAAAAAAATCTCACATGATTTTGTATTGCCTATATAGAGTTCTCTTGAGTTTACTTAAATACAGTTCCAGATGAAGCACACTGTGAAAGCTGTGCCTTCCATATCTAAAGAGGCAGACAGACATTTTATATGGTTTGAAAATAATAATGATCCAAGCAATCAGGTGCATCTAGAGGGTATAGCTGGAGCTGGAGAGGACTGCAGCAGTTCGCTGTACAGACCATAAGCTCTGTTGGCAGCAATTACTCTTTTTGTCTTGTGCTTGACAGCCTGGGGGGAGACCTGATATGTGCTTTGGTCTTTGTGAAGTGCAATCAAGCAACATAAACAATATCTATGTCTTCGTGTCTTCCCTCCTTGTTCTCCACGCCCATATTCAACCACAGCTCTTTCCCCCATATCTGTATGTGCTCGCTAGTGAGTTTCACTTCGATTTCATGCTGGTTTTAAATATAATATGCCAGGTTTCTGTGTAGATCTAGGGAAGAAAACCCAAAAGAAAACAAGAAAAAAAAAAAAGCAGAAAAGAAAGAAATAATCAGATAAGCTTTCTACTCTTTCCATTCTGGGAATGCACAAGACTTTTTGTAGCCCTAGACTTTTGGGCAATAACCTTACTCCAGAAAGATATGTGAAAAATTTCATCCCTTTGTACAGACTAGTGCTCAGTATAGGCATAAACAAGAATTCCTAAAAACATGAATATTAGAAAACTGCTCTCAAAAATTTCAGTATGGTGTAAAATTTTTAATAAGGCCCTAACTAACTTTTATTGCGGCTTTTTTATTAGGAGGGGAGAAATTCCACTGTCCTACAGTTTTCAATCCTCTCATCCATATAGGGAAGTTTTAACTTTAATATAAATAATGCATAACTATGTATATTACAAAATATAGAATTTGGTACCTCAGCTATCTTTCTGATTTTTTTTTTTCCCCCTGAACAGTTAATATGGCCTGTGATTTTTCTGCCTATGATCGTTCCATAGCATTCCAGGGAGAACTTATTCACTGTTTCCTTGCCAGGAATAATCTAAGTGGGCAACAGGTGTTAGAGTGAATGGGAATGAAGTGAAAATTGGAACTATTTAACTGCATCTAAACCAACCTTTGTATACATAATACATCTCTATCCCCAGAGCACCCTCAAATCTCTCATTTTAAATGTGTTAATAGCATTTCTGGACTAATTTTGGTTTAATTAGTGCTATTTTGTTTTAAAAGTAAAACAAATCAGTATTTAGTAGAATCTCTGAAGAGCCTTGATTCCTTTACACACATTTCTCCCCAAAAAATAGACTCCATTTAGCCTAAACCTTCTGCTTTTGGCATTGAAATACCACAGTGATATTTAATGAAGAAAAGGGAAAAATTCTGTTGCTTATATTTACATTATGTGTTTTTTTTTTTTTTTTAATGACAGCTTCTAATACTGTTCCCATGTTTAAATGGCAAGGCATGTTTAAATTTTCATCACAATATTTTATTCACAAGTATTTTCAGAAACAGCAAACATACACATAATATAATATAGACATATTTCAAGTGAACCTGCAGGGTTTTTACTTATTCTGGTGAGTGTTAACTAATTAAACTAGATATACTATAACTTTTCTGGCCAGGCTGTTAGGAATAATTCAAGAACTCCTCTATACAGATCCATTATTTTTGCACTCAAACTTCATAATTTTTACTTAGCAAGTTAAGTTTTAAAATTAGGTGGAAGTAGTTTTTATTCACTTTTTTTTTGCATAAACCATAAAAAATGTTGGGTTTTTTTTCCTTGTGTCAGAAGGAGCTCTCAATAACGTGAATGGAAGTTCAACTTTAGTAAGGATAGAGTAATAAAAACTGGATCCGGATCTCAGGATTTGGCACGTGGACACTAGATCTATTAAGTCATCTTGTCCATACTCCTGCCAATGCAGAATTGTTCCCTTCAGCATAATCTCCTGTGCCTTAGTCAGTCCAATTTTAAATGACTTGGGTGAAGTGGTTTCCATTACTTCACTTGGTTGAAGTATTACTTATTCCACAGACTAAAATAATGCTTTTCAAGCTGCTTCATTTTCATGGATCACTTCCCAATCCCAAAATTTCCCCCAGACGAATGCTTATGAGTAAGGGTAAGGAAAATGTGTGTAGAATATAAAGGCCAAAAGGAAAAAGTGGCACAAAGTCCTTCCCCTCGCTCCATTTTTTTATGTCTTTCTCCTTGCTTCATATTTCTGAATTCTGTCTCTTCACTCTTGCCAGTGAGACTTGGACCAAGCTCCTTGAGAAACAGATCCACTACGATTTTTTCCCCATTTTTCTACATGTGAATCATTCCAAAACAGTCTGTGAGGCTCCCCCTGCCCCCCTTCTCCGCTATATCCTATTATTTCTACTTTTCTCTGTATTAAATTTGTTTTTAGTAATGCTCTGACTTTTACCACTTTTTGCTGACTCTTCATTATCTGTCACTTATCTCTTGAGGTATTATCCTTATTAGAGTGATTTTTTTCATAGAGAATCCATAGAATATATTTTTTGCAGGTGCATATGGGTGTATGCAATAAAAATGATGTATTTTAAATTATCAGGAATGCTAAAACCAACTGTAATAGTAGACAAGATTGATGACAAGATTGAGAAAGGAAACAAAGGTTTGTGGGCCCTGTTTTGTAATATATCACATAGATAGTCAAGGCTTTAAATCACTGTACATGCAAAGTGAAGTTGAAATACTCGGTATTGTAACTGATATTACGTGCTAAGATCTTTGTTTCAGTTTTTAGCTATACGCACAGTAGATTCTGCAAGAACAAAGACTGAATTTGGCACTTTATTGAGATGTAGATATTCAACAGCAGGAAATAATCTTCCTTGAAAGAAACCCCTATTTCCGTCCTCCTTTTTTTATACATCCTTTAGTAGCTGATCACTTAAAACAGGTGCTGTAATTCATGATTGGACATTAAATGTTTACAATGGATGGTGTCTGTGTTTAGGGACAACTTTATGTACCAGTGCTTGTAAGGCACTTCCTCTCAGGAATCAACTGGAATTAAGATCATATAGCACTCTGGCAGATTTTAGATTCAAATATTACAGCTTCTTAAATTATTCATTGGAATTCATTTACTCAGTTCATTTTAATATATGTAATTATTCAGAAATGAAACTTTATCCCTACAACTTTCAATAGAAGTGTTCAATAAAGCAATAAAAAAAGGATGCTATCTGGGTTCAAACATACCTGTGTCTCATGTGCTGTCGGTGCTGCCCAGGTTTCTGAGCTGTGACAGCTCTAGTGGAACATCTGGAAGAAGTTGCTAGTCATTCAAAAGGTCAAGTATGCCAGGGAAAGTCTGGCTATGCCAGGAAGAAAGTCAGGGCAGGGTCCCGAGGCCATGGTAAGAAGGGGTGCCTGAGCACCAAAAGGCCTTATTGCAGCTTTTTTTGACTTAGTCAGGTTCTCAAACAGAAAAGAACTGCTAACAACTCCCATCCACATGAGCCTGCTTCATGCAGAATGATTACTATCAGAGGTTTATATTCACCTTTACTGGTTTACAAACCACTCTCTTTACTGAGGTATCCATATTTGCTTCCAAATGAATTAGCATCTGTGATTTCAGCTGTGTAGAGAAGAGGATTCCCACTCAGCACAGACCACTGTGCTGAGTGCAGTCAGACAGATAACTAATTATATGGGTAGAGATGTTTCAGAGATCGATCCATACGCTCTGGTGGGATGACATATACAAGTAACTAATGGTATGAATAAATCCATGTGTCTGTGTGTCCCTCCTCTTTTCTCTGCTCACATCAAGGCCTTGTCTGCTCTGATACTTATATAATGGTAAAAGCTGACCTGTTTTGAGGCACTTGTAATGTAGAGAAAAAACAAGCTCTTTTCCAAGGAAAAGACACACATGAACTTTGAAAGGCATCCTGCAGCATGTGGATTTTCTTCTTTTGCCTTGTGAATTGTTTGTGTCCCTGGAGTGTATCCTGCAGTGACAGAACTCTACTGAGATGCTTCGACAGCTCTGCATGTTTTGAGTGCTGGGCACAACCTCTACTCCTTTCTCATGCCAGTCTTAATAACTAATTCCTTCCATCTGGTAATGATTGCTAAGCAGCCACAAGGGAATTGCAGTACCTCCTCCGGGCACAGCAGAGGTAACTTCTCCTGGCAGAAGTGGGGTATATTTGACTTTCCCCTTCCAGAACATGTAAGTGATCACCCTTCTTTCCTGTCCTTACTCTGGGTATGTATAAACTATACAGATATAAAATACCTAGAATGTAGAACAAAGAAAACTTGGATTCCTTTGCCTTGTCTCACATATATGAATACTCATGATGAACTGTGCATCATTAGAGCTAGGTGTACTTATACTGAGCAAGAAAACCCTAGTGCCAAACATCTAAAGTTTCTTTAATAGGTTTTTTTTTCACTTCAGTTGGATATTTAAGAGAGTCCTTTGCATTTTTTTCTCAGTTCTGTGAGACTGGTAATTTAGTTTTTCTGCTCCTTAGCAGAGGAGACAGAACATCCATAAAAACAACTATGTATTTTTCCAATACATAGTATAAATGATATGCTATTCTAAGGATAAAAAGCAATTAAAAAAAAAAAAAAAAGGATATCACCCAAGAAAATATTTGAGAGCCAAATAGAACCTGAAAAGGGAGAGCACAGGAAAGCAAGACACAATACGGAAGGTCTGTCATATAGGAAACATTACATCCTCCCTCTGGAGACAGATATCGTCAAACCTGCTGCTGTCAAAACAAAAGCTTTTTTGACCATAATTGGTCATAATGACTTTGGATCCTTTTCAGGCTAGTCCTCTGTTAAGGTGACATCTGGATTATCCTTACCTTTTCATCAAAACAGGTCTTACCGGTGGTAAGTTTGATCAGAAAACTTTTATATACTGCCACCTCCCCCAGTCTGCTATTCACCAGGAGTACGTGCATGGGAGGAAGGGTGGTGAACAAGACTGTAGCTGGATCTGTCCCCATATTGGTGAACTGTCATCAAAATATGGGTTAACTAAGCATGTTCTCAGAGAAAAACTCCTAGTGAAATCTTTTATAAAGTTCTAAGTAATTTAACTGTTGAGAAGACAAGCCCTGAGAGCAGATTGTAAAACACCCTCTTATTCACGAGAAAACTACCCTGGGTATTGCAGTGACCTGGGTTCATTGGGTATGTTAGTTACACACTTACCTGCTGCAGAATAAGAGTGAACCAAGCCAAGGCTTCAGGCATTATTACTTAGGATGTAGTTAGGTGCCTCAGCTGAAGGAACACAATCTGTAGGGCAGAGCCTTAGCTTCCCATGATCTAGCTTGCTAACAGCTGATGACTGACACCTTATAGCACAAACAGTGACAATGGCAGATTTTCCCTGATAACTGAGAGAAAAGAATGCAAGATGTTTTTCATCTGATTAGGTGTATGGTGATTACTTCTTTATTTTGCTAGGTTTTGGTGCTTTTTTCTATCTACTTCCTGTAGGTACAAGAAAGCATAAGACAGACCGTCTTTCAAGAATATAATTTAGAAGCCTTTAAGGAAAAAAAAAACAAACAGCGACAAAAAAAACCCTAACAGCAGCAACCCCTCGAAATGTTTCCATGTTAGAATCTGAAGTGCTTCAAGATCCCTATACAGAGCTCTGGCTGGAAGCCCACTACTAACACACGTACTGCAAAGGACCTGAAGAATATCTTTGCTTTGTAGGTGGTAGAGTGCCTTCACAAAGTCCTGGAGTACTTTGCAACAGTCTTTGTCATGATGCACAAACTTAGGGTCCAAAGAATAGAAAAGATGGCAGAAAGTGGCAGCAAATGAAAGAGCATTTTTGAACTGTGTACAAGGCTCCCAGAGCTGAGAGGTCTTAGAGTTCTCCTCATTAAAGGAAAATAATTATTTAAACTTGGATTAAAAGTACAAAGTTATCCTCACCTCAATGTGTTCTTCAGAATCTGCAGATTTGAACTTGGAGAAGTCTTTTTAAACATCTTACACAAGAAGACAAAGGATTTGAGTGACTGTCACAAGTTGTACAGGTGATGTAATACATTTGGTTTATTTGCCTGAAACAAACAAGGTACTTTAGTGAAGCATTTGTTTGCACCAAAGCCCAGCTATGTTGCTGATGGCTGTTGTGCCATGAGCTTGCAATGGAGGATGCTGTGCTGTGGGTAGACAGTTCAGAGAACAAACAGGAACTTTTGTTTCCTTTCATTTCGGGAAAAGAAAACAAGGCAGAAGGAGCAATGCTGACCAGCTGCCTGAAAGCTGCTTTGTCTCAGCTTCATTATGACATGATCCCTGAATTGATTTTTGATAAAGTACATAATATATCGGAAGAAATCACCAAACTATAGCTGTAATAAGCAGTTTTATTTAGAATTTATGCTTCCTGATGAGATAGCAGTGTAAATTCTACTAAGCAGATCCTATGCTCTTTGAAACAGGGCACTAAAATCTGATACAGTACCTAATAGTGGAATTAACAGTGAATACGATAAGGTAAATGCATGGTTGTCAAACTTTGCTTACCACCTATTTCATCATGTGGAGAGCAAAGAAATCATGACAGTACAACGTACTGGCAGCATGAGAATCTGTCTCATTTAACATCATGCTACTGTTGTCAGTTGAGAGAGCCCTTACTCAATTTGATGTTCTCCACTGAATACTCAGTATCATTTGAAGTTGGTGGAAATCTCAGTGCTTTGTAGCATCTGCTTTTTACATCGTAGTGTTCTGCAACCTTAAAAACAGATGTCTGAAATAGTTTATTGTGCTTTTCCTCAAATATTACACAGCACCGGTATGCACAGAGCATAAAGGATTATCTCAACAGCACTGTGTAGGTCTTTAGTCTTTAGTCTTTAGTTTATGACCTCTGTGATCTATTGTATGTAAACCTTTTTATGAGACTGGGAAGGGATGTAGCCTCAGTAAAATTAAACAGTGTACTACACAAAAAACCAAAAAAACCAACCAAACAACAACCAACCAAACAAAAAATTTTAAAAATTGAGGCTCTTCTGCCCTGTAAATGGACAAATTGAAGACCCAAAATAGAAAGACTTTGGAAAATGAAACATTTTCATCAAATAATTTCAACCCAGAGAAATATTTTATGCCAGACGACAGAAGATGTCGGAGTTTGTGCTGGCAATAACAGGATTCATCTTCCCAAGGGGTGGAGGAAGTGTTCTATCCATTCTCTCACATTTTGAAATTTCCAATGGGAAAAGCTTAACTATTTTTATCTTGCTGTCTTCCAGTTCCTGCATCACTCTCTTCTGTGAAACAAATAGAAGTTACAGTCAAGTACCAGCATGGCTACAATCCAAAGAGCATGAGATACTTCCAAGAAAAATGAGTGACATATTTAATGTTTTGTTCAGGCATCTTTACCATTGTTGATTATAATACATTCTTGTCTTCATGCCTAAAGAATCATGCCAGCAGTAAACCCTTATACCGAATAAAGAAGCATGCTGCGTCCCTGTAGGAAAATGCTGATCAAATCTATCTAATTTACAGCTTGGTCTAATGGTCACATAATTGCTAGAGAGTTTCAAAGGATTGTCACAACATGGAACCAATCAGTCTATAAACCAGGATGTGAATGCTTCCATTTAATTCCAGGATGTGATGGGCATTGGATCGTAAGGACAAGATTCTCAAAGATACAAAAGATTAGGTCTGAAAATCCCTGTAAAAGAGCCACACAGGCTTATTTGAAAGGCATTGGAGAGCAGAAGTCCACAGACTCATTCATTCCTTTGGTTTCCCTTTCCCAACAGTTTGGTAGCTGGGGAGTATGTAGCTATTTGGGTATCTGTTCTCATCTAACAAACCTCATGTTGATAAATCTTTAAATTAAGAAATAGGAATGTGCA